ACTGAAAATACAGAACCTTCCCTGGGAGGTCCCCTCACCACGTACAGGAATCCACGTCGAGGGGATTAAGTAAGATAATGAAAAAATATTCTTCATGAGGTATGCTTACAATCAGCTTGTGCATTATGTCATTCAGTACAGTAGTGTGAACTACATGTTCACCAAGTGATCTGTAACTTGTTTGGCAGGATTATAAGTTAGACATAGTTCAAAGTGCAATAAAACAGTAAAGTTACGTATAAACAGATGTAGACTTAAGCTATTTCAGATAAATAATTGTAGTTTTCTGTCACAATCTGCAGTAATTTTAGAAAGAAAAAAAAGGGTAATTAAGATTTATTTCATTTTTTCTTTTATGATGGTTACAAGGTTGGTCAAGTCCATATAGAGTTAGGGCATAGAAAATAACATAAAACATCAAGTTTTACTGAAAATAAATGTTTGGCATCTATTTAGATTTTAGAGATTACACAAATAAAATTTGAAAATTTTCAGATGAAGAAAAGTATTGTTAATAACATGAAAACTACTTTTCACTCAGAGCAGTAAACACTTTGACCCCATATATTCACAAAGTTTTAGTAAACTTACTTTAAAAAAACCTGATTTTTTTGTGTACAAAATGCTTGTAATGTTTACTGAAAGCTTACCAAATTTTGTGAAGATATACAAAACACATTAAAAGTTATAGTATGGAAACTGTGATTATCACATTGCCCAACTTCACATGGAAAGATTTAATCCCATTGCTATGGATAGGATCAGAGGGCATGCCATCATGTTTGTAGACTTGAATTCAAAATTTTATTAAACTATTATTTTATGAATGTATGTCAATAAATTTGGCATCAAATCATAGATTATAATTCAAATTTTAGTATTATACATTAAGTAATTTCTAAACTTAAAAGTAGATATTAAAATAAATTGCTAAATATCAATTTTTTGTGTATCACATGGTTTCATTTTGCAGGTTTGAAGAATGGTGTCAAGGGAATATGGTGATTGTAAAGGAGATATTTTTCAGACACAAATACAACTTAGTTAAAAAACCTGATAAATTACAGTGGAGTTTTGTAGTATCACTAATTTATAATTTCTTGCTATTTCAAAATGCATATATAAAACTTATAAAAATTATTTTTTTTTATATCCTCCATGTGCGAAAATCGACCAGGCTTAGCATGTACGACACACAAGTACAAAGAAACTTTGTAACATAGCAAGTAGTATAGAGATCATTGTTTTATATACATCTTTTATTTACTGTTCTATGTTTTAAAGAATATAACTGATAATTAAGAATTAATTTGTAAATAGTAATAATACACACAAATACACACACATATATATATATATATATATATATATATGTGTGTGTAATGTATGGTAACTGAGATATGATTGATTTTATAAAACAATGGTGAGTTAGTACTAAGACTAAACATTTGTACTTTATAAAGGCTAGATTCAAGCTATTCAATATGGTAACGTAAGCTGCACGTGTGCCACATGATATACAAGATTTATATGGCATTAATATTACTCACAGATGATTGAAAGGTCAATGATGCAAAACATTAATATATATATTCGAAACGCGTCGGCCAACTCATCACTAACTACAACTTTTACCCGTTGTTCTAACAACGTTAAGACGGCTTATCGACTTCTTGAGAAGAATTCTAAGAAGAAAGTAAACCTACAGACATTGGTCTTGTTTAACAAAATCTGCCTATATATATATATGTAAATAGGTGTATACTGATACAAGATTTAAGCTACTTAGAATAAGTTTATGGTGGTTATGAGGTCAATCAAATCAACCAACTCAGTACAGAGTTAAGGTTGGGCAAATAACAGATAAAATATAAAGTTTAAAAAAAAATTGATAGTTATTTAGGAGGTTATAGAGATTAGGCAAATGAAATTTGACAATTTTCATAAGAAGAAAAGTATTTTTAATCTTAAAATCAAAATTACTTTCCATGTTGGCTAGTCAACATTCAAAAAAAAAATTAAAGAATCTTAATACTTAAACAAAAAGCCTTGTAACACTTACTGATAATTTGCAAAATGACTTGACGGTATGAAAACATTATCAAAAGTTATAGCATGACTATTCTCATTGTTACTTTGATGGTTACAGGCTGTAGACAAAGAGTTAACTGGGTAATGTTTTCAACAAATGCCCTTTGTTAAGCCTGTTATACCAAAACCTCATTCAGTAAACAGTAAACGTTGTTTTACTTCAATAGGTGATATTATTCCACTAACTTAAAAATTCACTGTGTTATTGTATGTTGGTATCTACTTATTTTTATGTAATTGAATCAAGCTGATTTAGTATATGTTTAAATTCGTAATGAACCAGATTTAATAACCAGAAAAGCCTTATCGTAAAACATAAATCTGGTAACTTAGAACCATTAAATGATACAACTCACCTTACTCAAAATTGCATCTGTAAGTTCAATGAAAGCTCGCTCAATGTTAACATTTGCTTTTGCACTGGTTTCCAAAAATCTAATCCCATGTTCTCTGGCAATCTGTGAAAAGTACAAATGTTACTAAAGTTAACATTTTCATTACTAATACTTATCTCTACACACAGATAGCTTTTTCCTCTTAAGTTTGCACCTTCTGCTAAAGAAGTTTGCAAGCCACCAGCCTTGTGAAAACTCCCATCTAATTTCACATGAATTTGCACCACTGCATGACGATGTTATCCTGCAGCAGAGCCTTACACCAATAGGAATCTGACACACCTCCATGCACAATGGCTCCCTCTACATCATGCCCATGAATCCTCATTCTTTGATCAGACAATAAATAAATGTGCACCAGAAAAGTGGGAAGGATGGGTGGAAAAATCTAGGGAGGTATCAATCGGAAATACATTTTCACGTAAGGAAAATATTTACTTTCAAAACAATATCTTACCTATCACGCAGATAGCTATATTCCCATGCTGAGATGGTGGAGGGACTTGATCAAAGATTACTTTGATGAGCTCCCATCAGGAAGCAACCAAAGGAAACCCATGGGATGTGACACCTGATGGCAGGGGCTTGATTGGGGCACACCCATGTAGAATAATAGAAGAGTAAATAAAGTCATAAAGGTGTCCCAAGGACAGGCATAACAGGTACATGGCTGTCTGAGAACTTGCATTGAAACTGTCGGACAGCTATGTGTAGTGAGATTGGGTTTCATTCAGACCATATCTTGTGTGCTCACCTCCTCTACTATCAGACTTAACAGGTTAAAACCAGCTATTGGAAAAGGGCATTTGTGATAAGTTTGTGCTCACTTCCTCTACCATCCATCTCTATGGACCCCATGTCAGCTGTAGGTGGAAGGTACTGTATGGAGTCATGTCTGTATGTATACTTACATAAACCTCTACTCGACCATCAGCAACTACAGGCTTCTTGCCTGCCGAAGGAGTAGGGTATGCGAGTGATACATCATATGGTGTATTTACCTCAACTCTACCATAAGTCTCTACAGGTGCAATGCCAGCTGTGGGAGGAGGGCACCATATTATATACACCACTTGACCATTAGTCTATGGGCTGCAGGAGTGGAGTTAGATTTGAAGGGTGACCTACACTTCACACCAATGTCACCCCAGCAGTTAGGTCCCAATCAGTGAGAATTCTCCATGGCCCACCACCCCAGCAGTTGGGAGATGGTGAGTGGCAAGGAGGGGGGGTTCATATAGATAAGACCCCACAAATGTACTTGAATCCCCACTAATCTTTTAGCCTGGAAAGATCTATTATTGGAGACAGTATAACGTGTGACCACAAAACACTACTTTTAAAAGCCGGTAAATGGTAGCCACATAAGTGGGCAGAAACACTGCTCTGGTGCTGGCTTACAATCTGAATTGGGCATTAAAGTGGTCTAATGGAACTCCCCACCTCACAGTGGGCACTTGTAGAGTCAGAGTGGATAGTATGAACACTTTTAGTTACCCTGGCTTCAAGCAGATTTGGGGTAGGTAAACATTGAGAGGTAACACTAGCCACCCAGTAGGACCCTACAGTGATTGTAAGGTGAGAAAATTTTTATACACTCACCTGCCCATAGACAGAAGTCTAAATTCCTATAGAGCTGAGACAGCCATGTGGAGCTGATAGTTGGTGGAGAAGTTATTGGTTGTCCACATGCCAGCCTGGAGAAGAGCATGAAAAGTCAGTGAAAAAGATCAATAAAGACATTAAAGAGTTCATGTTCATCCACTCACAAAGAGATGTAGACCAAATGGATGACCAGGCAAATCCATCCTGATGGATGGAAAAAGAGAGGATGCAGGTAAAGGAGGGGACCCAAGGAATGAAAAGGACAATGATTGGAACCCCTAAAGGAGAAAGAGCATGACAAACAATGAATGGCTCAGACAGAATACAGAAATCTGTCTGGTACTTAACGAGCATAGAGAAGTGATATAATAAAGAAGAGGTACGGGAGAAAGGTGTGTCTACCGAAAAATGCTACAGAAGGCTAGATAAAGAAGGAACAACCTGGATAAAGAAGGTAAGTGTGATTTAAGAAAATTTGAAAGAATACCATGGCATAGACATCTGAATGATGGTGACCACAGGCAAAGTGGAGAAGGACTTGTGTGTCCAGGGAGTGATTATACATCGAAGAAGTTGTTAGATTCAAGAGGGTCCCAGGTCTACAGTGAGATTCCAGTCAGGCTAAGACGAGGGCGGTAAGATATGTGAATAAGAAAAGGACAGAAAAGGGTAAATAGGACTGGTGAAGAAATTAGCCTGTGGCACCGGAAAAGTGGAAGAATAACCTGCAATGAGAGAGACAGATGACCAACGGTAGAACACAAATGAAAGAAGAGGGAGTATGTTATAAAGCAGGGAGGTCAGAGGGGAAATGGTGAAGGGGAGACCTATGGCAATAAATACATGATGTACTGTGGTGTCTGGAAGAGGAAGAAGAGTGTGACAATAGGAAGGTACGTGATAGGATGATATATTTAGAAAAGTGATGGATATGTGAAGTTGGATCAGAAGAGGTAGTATGTATGGAGGGGGGACCTGGACGGGAGAAGGTGGTTGACAGAAACCAGGGTTGGTATAAACATTGGGAGGCCACTAATAGGATCCTGCAAGAGGTGTTCTGAATCAGAGTAAGGATTTGAGGGGAGGGCAAGCCTGCAGAAAAAGATAGCACCAGAGTTGACTGGAGGCATAGACAGCCAGTACTGAGAAATGGAATGCAGGAGGCCAAAGATAAGAAGAAGGGTTTCAAGAGGTGTGGCAGAGGTATTTATTTGTGGAGTAGTAAGTTCAGAGCAGATCAATGCAGAATGTGGGAGTGGAGGGACCATTCTGTGTGTAGAACATGGTCTCACTGAGAAAGACAGTCACTGACAATGTTCAGTGAAGCTAGAACAAGACCAGTTACGAAACTCACCCGAATGGAATGGGCAAAAAGGAGGAGGACCAAAGTCAGGAAACAGGGGGGGCCTGGAGTGTACATATCCATGGCAGTTAACATGAGACAAGACCATGGATCTGACCAAATGTATAAGAACTAATTGATCCATAAGGAGAGGAAAGAATTGTGGAGATGCCTGGTGGACAGAAAGCAGGTTGAAGAAATGGGTCAAGAGCACAAAGTCAGACTGTCCTGAGAGAAAGGCATCCATAAATAGTTGAAGATCTGGATTGTGAGAAGGTAAGGGAACACTGGAGGTGGTGGTAGAGAGGTCTAGTCACCAAGCAAGATCCTCCAGAAGAGAGAGGGGGATTTGTGAGGTTGGTGGAACCCTGGAAAAGTACCGTTAATCATCAACATTCACTGTAATGGATGAATATGTGTGCAGCCAAGTGAAAGGAGAGATTCCAGAGAAGAACAGGAAAGTACCTCAAGTGCAGAAAGTAAATACAAGGTGTGAAACCTGATGACCAGACACTGAAAGTCTAGCAGGCAAATGGGAGAAGGTTAGGAACATTGGAGACGAGTTGAACAGAATTACTAAGTGAATGGGAACTAGGGCCAGGGGAAGGAAGAAAGGATTAGGAAACTTGACAGGCAATCCCAAATGATCAGCCATTAAAACAGTGAAGGCAAGTGAGTGGAAAAGATGGGAGCAGAAGGTCCCAGCCATATAATGGACACCACCACACAATGGAAGATGGCCATCACATCTTCCACAGGAAAAGAACTTCCATTAGAAATAGTGTTAATTTGTTCTGTATGAGGAGATTCTTCACTCACATCAGATTTAGAAATATTCACATTAAGTTGTGAATTCATATTGAGTTTAACAAACTCAATTAAGTAAAAACTGAAATTAGAAAAATTTTGAAAAAGTCAAAGATCTCAGCAAATTCAAAAACATGTCAATGCACTGTTGTACCGAGGAAAAGAATGAGGGTTCACAAGTGTGAATGTAGAGGGAGGTATTCTGCATGGAGGTGTATTGCACTCCTATTGGTGGAGGACTCTGCTGCATGATTATAGCATAATGCAGTGGCAAATATTCACATTTTCAAGAGATTAGGTGGGACAGGATTCGTACACCTTTGGTGATTTAGATTTCCATGACTTTTCTAAAACTTTCCATAGCCTTCAAAACTGATTTTTGAGACCAAATATAACATGAAATAAATCATGCAATCCACAATAACTGTTTATTCTTTATATATTATGCAAAAGTATATATATGTATGACTACATATGAAAGACAATGATAGGACATAGATTAACAATTCTTTGACCTTTCCACCATTTTTGCAATTTTTTCTTGCACAATTTTTAATTCTAAAGACTTTTCTTATGCCATTTTCCTGAAACTATTTGTTTTTGGCAAATCAGTCATATTGCCTTGTTTTTTGGCCTTGTCAGCAAGATCATCAGCAGCCTCAACTAAGAATGCTATACCTTTTTAAAATATTTGGCATTTAGCTTTAAGTTTTGCAATATCCACAAGAATAAGCTTCTTTTCAGTGTTTTTTTCATTCAGTTCAGCTGTCTCCCTCTGTTGATTGAGGTATTGGTTATATTTCTGTCTATCATTTTGAGCAGCAGTGAGCAGTTCTTTCGAAAAAGGAACTTCCAGAATACCTCCAAACTGACTGCATCATAATTATAGATTAACTGTCGACAAACAAGGGAGACATCCTTCATGTTTTGAAGCACTAACCCTTCATTCATAGAAAGGCCCCTTTCAACTGTTACTTGGCCATGAGAAAGTATCAAAATGAGTTTGACAAGATGCCATAAGGACTCATATCTGTAGCTTGGCCCATGTGTTTGAACTAAAAGCAGTCAAGCCTATCGGTTTTGAGGTCAAATCCTTGATGATGAGGGAATTTGGCTTCAGAACTCTAGATAAAAACATGTCATACTGTCTGATTAAGCAATCACATTCTTCTGCTTTGAGATGTTTCAAATTGACAAGAGAGGTCAATACCTGCTTAAAACAACCCTTATTATCCATCATATCTGAGGCCATTTTTTAGAAGAGAAAAGCAAATGAGTAAATGATTATTTCAACAGACACTTCACTAGCAATTTCTCGATTAAACAGATCAAAACAGACAAACATTCATTGTGAAATGCAAGTGCATTTCTTGGAGTTGCCTTCTATGCACCGATCAATACTTTCATTTTTTCTGTTGCACAAAAACTGGTATCAACATGCTTAGCCAATTTGATATTTTCTGTATTGCTTAAGTCAATTTTCAACAATTTAAATCAGTGTCTGCTCTGGACAGCACATCATGTTTTAAAACCCTTCTCAGAAGATTTCTGATCACAGCTGACAAAAGGTAGTACAGGGTGTTCAGTCTGATATTTCATCACAAATGGAGAGAGTTCTTCAGATATTGAAAAAGGAAAGGATATCATTTGTTGCAAATGTCACAGTATTAAATGCTTGACTTTTTTTTGGTACTGTGTAAGAGTTTGATTTGGCTTCAACTGTTTTTTTCAGAATAATTTCAATTGTCCTTTGTACCCATCGGGTAGAAAAAAATTTCAGTACGTATGTATGAGACCCAGTAATTTTCTCAAAGTCTTCCCATCTGGCTGGAGAATCTTTGAAAAGGTGGTACATTGATTTAAGTATTGCTTCTAAATCCCAATCAGAGGCATTGAAATCATTACAAAGAGCCCCGTGAACTGTGTAGAGACCACACGACCCAATGTTGATTAAAGATGGGTCCAAATTCGTAATTTGAACTCTGATTCTAATTTCTCATGGAACAACCAGTTAACACTTGGACCATCCATCCCTATTTGCAAAAGATGACTAAAATTAAGCTCTTTTGTCAGTTTTAATAAATGGCTTAAGAGATTATTAGCCTGTATGTGACCGAAACATACAGAATCACGAAATCAAGGCATCACAAGATTTTGTTTTGAGTCAAGTTGGTCCTTTTGGTTTTCACCATTTAAGAAGTCATCATACAAGAGCACTATGTCTGTGTCTTTTCCAAGCTTCTGATACAAATTTGACTTGATATATGGGGCCAATCCAAAACAAGCCATATACACACATTTTTTCTCTCCACAATAGAACTTGGATGCAATTTTATTATCTGGTAACATCGTTTTAAATAGTTCGTTTATGTTTTCACAGTTTTTGTAACAGCTAACAATGGCCTTCAGGACTCACAAAATCTCAGCTTTCCACTAATCTTCTTTTAAATATATGAATCCAATCTTCCTGTACTGAATAAACTACATAATGAAGTTCTGACAGCTAGATGAAAAGAAGTGAATCATCCAAAGGCTACTTGTAAAATAACACAACTAAATTGTATTGTACATTTAAATCAATGAAATTCAGTCCATTCTCTTTAATAATTAAATTTAACTTAGGAATATTATTCACTTACTTGCTAGACTACGGCATTGTGTTGATTTGTTGCAACAGTAGGCCTAACCATTGGTGTCCTATCTGGCATTGGCCTAGGTTCAGATGTTATCAAACTGTGTATGGTCAGCATGGCTACTGTTGACAAGTGCAATTTATGCACATTAACCTTGTGCTTTTTGCCCTTCATACGGCTTACAAATGTGGGCTCACCCATACTGCCAACATCGAAGTTTTTTAATGGCACACATTGAAACAAGCATTTTGTTGACGTGCACCCGTAACAAGCCATTCCTTGTACTCATCCTTCAGAAGTCATGCATTGTTAAATATACATTTGCCTGGCATATTTTATGCAAGTACACATTCAAGTCTATACCACAGAACATAAAAATAATGATGGAAAAATTACTTAATTGCTTGAATGGCAAGGCTCAGATATCATTGGCCTCCTACAACCTTGTACTGCTGAAGTAATTCAAGTTGCTATTCATGCATGTGCAGTGCATACTTCACACTAAGGGCTCAACTGAAAGATCATTGCCAATGGGTATTATATGATGTAATCATCAAATAAACAAATTATGGAAAACACTGGTTTATAATCTTGAGAGGAGGTTATTTTCATTTTTTATGACTTTTCCAAAAACATGGGGTTAATTTTCATTTTTCTAAAACTTTCCAAAGCCCATATGAACCCTGAGGTGGGAGTTTTTCAAGGCTGGTAGCTCGCAAATCTCTTTTGGTAGAACACATAACTCGTTTCTATTCAAGTTCACATGTGTGAAGAGGTATCATTTTGGAATTATCAATTTTTTATTCAAGCTTGTTTATCAAATTTAAATAAACAATTAAAATACTGGTCATCAACAAAGTCATTCAAACAAATATTATGCTAGACAGGAGCCTGTATCATTATTTTTGTCATTTTAAAGTCAAGAGATCCCTCCTTATACTGTTATCTTAGTTACATAGTGTATTTATATGGCTCAAGCAACCATCTGTCACGTTGTGTTTAGTGTACTCATATGCAAATAAATGGAGGGTTCTGTATACAATACAAGGTGATTTCTAATAAAGTGGCTAGTCAGTGTATTTAAACTAAACAATCCATATACTGTTATATCAATGAATCTCTGAGTGTGTGTAGTATCTTTTATGATGAGCACTAATATTAGGTGCAAGACCTTGTCAGCAGCAGCTTGGAACAAATGAAGAGTAGTGGAAATAATACATGTAGGTTGTGTTTTGAACAAAAAAATTGACTGGACCTGGTTTATTTTCTATTTAGTTAGGCCAAATGTAATTTGAGGAAATATCTCACTTTCCACTTCAATTGGATACATTTAAAGAAAAATTAATGTCAATAATCATCTTCAGTTTCTTAAAACTCTTTGACAGTTATTTAAATACAAATCCAACTATAAAGAAAAATAATATTTTCTTTAGTTAAAATAGTTCATCAAGATATATTGATGTTTGAAAATATCTCAAGTGGTATTCGTCAAATTTTTCATTACTAGCCGAGTCTTTATGGATTTTACTTGTTATTCTCCTGACAATTTTCTCTGCTTATGAGTCTTCCCTTTAGAACATTTTATAACATTATCATTTAATAAGTTATTTTCTTTTGTACTGAGATCATCTGATAGTCAGTTTACATGTCTTTTATACACTGAGTTAGCTATAGTTTCTACTTACTGCATCTCCACGTTCTTTACTTATCATTCTCTTATCATCCACATCACATTTGTTCCCAAGAATCATCTTTTCCACATCTTCATTTGCATGCTGTAATATATAACATATAAAGATCAAACATGTGACATATATCAGAGAATTAAATTCAATTACTTAAATAAGGTCTATACCTGAACAACCATATGGAACATCCTACTTAAACATAATTTGAAAAATGTATAACAAATATCCTGTTTGAAATGCCAATTAACCGGGTGTGACATAAAACAATGGAAGATTTATGTATTCAGGAAATAATTTACATAAGTAAATCATGCACAAAGTTTTATGCAAGCTTTTATTACACATCTTTTCTAGGGGAACTAAAAATTATGTTGTATCTTATCTTCACTCTTACCCAATTCAGAAACACTTGACACTTGAAATACATAATTATTATCATTTGCAGCAATCATAACAACCAAATGGTAAATCTTCTGACAGGTTAAGAATCAAAAGTGAAACACATGAAAAAAATATTAAGCCTAAGCTATCAATTTCAGCTTAAAAAAAGAAGAAGCATTACTAAAAGTTTTTTTTGGGGAGGGGGAGATACATGAAATAGAACCCAACTGTACATCTTCTTCTTTACTGGGAAAAAATCTGAAAAATGTAACTCAACAATCAACACAAGCAAAAGATAACAGCAAGTTAGGGAACATAATGAAATAAATGCTATACTGTATTTGTAAATTTAAATATTCTGGTTGGTTGAGAAACAAAACTGAAATACGTGAAAATGTTATCAAAATAAGAAAAGAAAATAGAACTGTTAGCTTCAAGGCAAAAACAAAATTAAATGGTATGTCATGTAGAAAATTCAAAAGTTGGAATCAATGTTGGTGAAAGTTAACTATCTACAATGTATTACACAGAAAATGGAAGTCAAAGTTTTCAGAACACTTTGTGAATACTATTTTATATTCTTAAATAACACAATCTCTATATTAAACCTACTAATTTTACTACAAGTTACATAAAGTAACTGGAAAAAGACTTCATATAGAGAATTATACATATTGTTGCATCAGCGAGGTCACGTGACTAGTATCATGCCACGTCCTTCTCGAACCTTCGTGAATTATCGGGAGACTACTAGATTGGGGGTAGTCTGGTATATATAAAACGGTCACAACGTGATGGAACAATGTGTAATTGAACTGAGTATTGTGAGACGTTCTTTGAGAGTTATAGCGTTTGTTATAGAGCGACTGTTGAAATTAAGTGTATCGTAAAGTTGTATTCGGAAAGAATAAACCAGTTTTATTTAAGAAAGGACTTGTGTCGCTAAAGTTTCGTCGGAACGAATTTACGGAAAATTAATTAACGAACGAACAGAGACGTAACAATATTGTACATCTCAACATACCAACGGACGTGCTGAATCAAATTTGTCAACGATAAAAATTAAACGCAGACTTTCTAATGTGATAGTTTGTTTTAAAACAAAGCCAAATTGAGTTTTCTGCTCCGTCCACCGCGGGGAATCGATCCCCATATTTTAGTGATGTAAGTCCTAAAACTTACCGATGTCCCACACGGGGGACTCTAGCATGATAGGACAACCATGTTAAATATGTTTGACACGTCTTTTAGACAATGAAAAATGAGCAAAAGGATTATACAGAATATTATGTGTTTTATTCACAAAAATAAGGCGATACACCGCGATAGCGGGTGATTTATTTTTTTAACAATACTCAAACCCCTTTACATGTACAAATTATAAATAGCAACAAAATTCCACCAAAACGATAGAAAGGTTCTGCAAGTTGTTTGTTTAATATATTTTTCTTTATCCCTTGAAGCAAGTTTCCAATTTACATATTGCTTAAAATGGTGTTACATTGATACGCCAACTAAAACAAACATAAATCTGTTAAATACGAATGTATTATGCGCCCCCCAGTGGCACAGCGGCACGTCTGCGGACTTACAACGCCAGAATCCGGAGTTTTCTTCTGGAAAGGTTAATTGTATTCCTATGTGGGATGTTTTGTTGTAATTTGTGTAACAAGTTTTAACAAGTTATGACGTCAACCTAAGGATGAATGAGCAAATAGAAAAGAGTACCGGAATACATGTACATGTACGTCATTAGAAAAACAGATTTCTGTAAAAGTGATAAGTTTCATAAGGAGGAAAGGTGGTAAGAGTCAGATAGTCAAAACCTTGCTAAATATACAAAAAAAAACAAAAAACTTTTACTTAAATTACAGATTATCCGTTGTTAGGGCTTTTTAATTTAAAAAGCATTTAGAAAATAAAAGTGTATTAAAGACACAAACTTTGGCGGCTGAAAGCTCGGTTTAAAATGGTATAAATATTGTTATGTCTGTTCATTTGTTAATTTCCCGTAGAAATTTTTTCCGAGAAACTTCAGCGATACAAGTCCTTTCTTAACTAAAACGAGTTTATTATTTCTCGATACAACTTTATAATACACAGAATTTCCACAGTCAATACGTTTGCAATCTCGATAACAAAACTCACACTTTATATTACCGTCACTACCGCTCACTTGACTCAAATATCTGTCTCTATCTCTCTCTATGTCTGCAATTATTTGCCGGGCTTATATACTGAAACAGAGGGCGCCTAGGAAAGACTAAAGTTGCCAGGAAACGTCACGATCTTTCGAGAATCTTATGACGTGTTACCAACGTCACGTGACTTCCACTGTCGTAACAATATTTAAAAGAAAGTGAAACCCAAATGATTAAGATAATAAAATTAGACTAAAACAGAAAATATTGCACAAAAAGAAGAAATAAAAACTGCAAATCAAACAAGGCTACAAATATGTATATGAAATAAACCGGCGATCATGATCTATAAACCTAAGATAAATAAATATATATATTATAAAAGGTGGAAAAGATAAATTTGCAAGATCAAGCAAATTTTAGTGTCAGAATTATGAGTATGTGTGTCTAGACCGGTCAGATAGAAGTTACTTATAAGACAATCAGGTTGATTGGGCAACCTGAAGAACCATCAATTTTTGGGCCCATAATGGCACAGCGGCAAGTCTGCGACTTATATCGCTAAACACGAGGTTGCGATTCCGGAATTAGGCACAACAAAGATGACCCATTGTGTAGCTTTGGGCTTAACTACAATCAAACAATTTTTTGGTTATGATGGAAGACTTATGATTATTGAAGATTAATTTTAGCTTATCTCAACAATTAAAATTTGCATTTTTGTAACATTTCATAAGCAGTAGCGTCATTTTACAGAAGGCCTGCTAGGGTGACAAAGAAAACTGGGGTCCTACGCTAAGGAGTAGCTTGTGTTTATATATAAATACCTCCTGACTATGAATGTTTCACAGAAGCTGTACTTGGGTACCCTTACGAGCTTGAGAGGAGGTTGATAATATTGGTGGTAAAACAGCTGGTATGTTTGTTGATAGAATATTTGATGAAATTATGTTTATCAGATAAGGTATTGGTGGTCTTCATGAAACTTTGAGTTATTAAAAGGTTGACTACTACTTAAGAAAGAAGTTAATTTTCGCTTATGTATAGAAAATATTTTTAATGTGTTTTTCTTTTTCTTCAAATATTTTTTTTATATTTGTTATTAAGTTGCTAGTAATTTTTTTTCTTAAAGTGCGAAAAAGATTTGTGGGATTGGGAGAATAATTTGAAACTTATGACAAGATGAATACTACTAGTCTATATTCTGTTTTGTGAACCTTTTTTTCTTTTCAAGAACAGTTTTTCGTTCAGCACATAGCTTTGTGGCTCTGGTTCAATTTCTGTAACTTCTCTGGATCACGTTTTGTTGAAGTCTTGTTGTGGTTCACATCCTACCACTGGCTGAGCACGGCCCAGTGGTTAGCGTGCCGGACTAAAGAGCCGTGGTTCGAAAAAAAAAATTGCATCATTCGTTTAGGATGGCCCACAAGTAGATAATGGGTGGTGTTGACTAGTTCCCCTTGCTCTAGTCTATCACGTAAAAATTAAGGATAGCTCTAAAGTATGTTTGCACGAGATTCAACAAAAACAATCATCAGAAAAAAGATGGTTGGCCAAAAATGTTTAATAGAGATAACAATAGAAATTGAAAATAATTGGAAGAATAAATGCGGAATGGAGATAATGTAAGATGCTGGAAGTTGTTGTTTGTTATTAAGCAACGCCACGGGTATTGAAATCCGGTTTTCTAGCGTTGTAAGTCCGCAGACATACCGCTGTGCCACTGGGAGCAAAAAATGTAAGAAAACAAAGAAGAGACAATTAGAAATATATGGAAGTGTGAAATGGTGCAAAAAATAAGATGAAAGAATATGAATGGATTGATGAGGAAAGAAAGCAGAAAGGAAATGGATGCGGAAGATGGTGAAAGGAAAAATAATGCTCTAACCTAAATTTTCAATGTTGAAATTTAAATGTTACCTAGAAGGAGCTGCGGGTATTAATGATAACATTCAAATCAAAAGGTTTAAGAGACCTAGAACATCTATAAAGTTCTGATGATGTGACGTAAAATTCTCTAGCATATATGAAAGTAGATCATACATCCGAGGTAGTTCATACAATGGAGAGAATGATTTCAAATTAGAGAGTGAACCAATGAATGTGTTAGCTATCGCGGTGTCTTTGTTCGAGCCCCCCAGTGGCACGTCTGCGGACATACAACGCTAGAAACCGATTTTCGATACCCGTGTTGGGCAGATTACAGATATCCATTGTTTCTGAAGAAGAAAGGTCCACCTTTCGAAAGCGCTCGGGTTATAGGGTTTCTATTCATTTCTATAAATAAAATAATGGTAATGAATTAGATGGAAAATGTAGTCAAAGAAAAAAATATAATATGAAATTGTACTGTATAAAATTATGTATCCCCTTCCTACAGAGAAAAGTCTCTAAAAAAAGAA